AGGGATCGGGCGGCGGAGGGATTTGCGGTTGCTAAGCAGAGGCAGAGCATGTTTAGTTCTGCAACGTAGGATGTTGACTTAAGTTCAGGAATGTAACCCTGATAGAATAAGCAGAGTATTTTCATTGTGCTGCTCACCTGGGGGAGGGGATTGTTTTCCTTGCAAGTGAAGCCCCAGATTTCCCGTTACTCCTTCCTGCTGGTGTACGTTACTTTACTGACCTCGTATCCGAAAAAGAGACTTTTAAAGAGAAGGTTTTACAAAAAGAACTCCCCATGCCTGTTGTGTGTTCTTTGCCAAAAAAACAAAACACCTCATTACTCGACATGGATTGTGTCTGTACCATTTGAATGGCTCTATTCATAAATCAGGAAACTTTTTCTGTTGCTTCTAGGAACATTTAATTGGTTTTCATCCAATGTTTCAATCCCAGCATCAAACATAAATGAACAATTAACTTCTTGAGCTTGTGTGCACTTGGGAAACTATTCTATTTCATGGCTATCGCTGAAATATTTCAGTTTGTCATCACACTGGACTCATTCTTTTCAAAAATGTACGAGCTAACATCTTTCACACTAACTACAGCTCACTCCAGTGATTTCTGTTGTATGATTAAGAGGGACAGCAATCCGTGGAAAGGATGTGAGTCTGTTCATTTCAAGTCCATGATGTGAGACATTTAACATGATCAGGTCATCCTAAGAAAGCCCAAATGAACTAATAGACAGAATACTAAGACACTGACGTCCTTACCCATACATATTGCTTTCTAAAGATGCATTAAGGGCCAATTGTGGAATGAACAAGAACCTAGTGAACGAACGAAGGAAGGCACAAGAGATAATGTGAGGATGCTGCTACACTTGAAGAAAAGCATCAGCGTCTCCCCAAAGCCATCTGCTGTCACTGAATCATCAGCCTTTGAGAGCTTTAAGGATAGAGTTTAATTTACTAACTTTTTATTAGGAAGCCTAGAGTGACTCCTGCTGGCAAGCATTCAGTTTATTCCTGCAATTACTAGTTCATCAGGTCAACTTAAAACACAAGATTCAAGGTTCATAGGCCTGGAAACAATTATTGCAACCATGACTCGTGTTTCTTTCACGATGATTTTAACCTCACAGAATTCCTGGGATGGTGGTTATGGCCAGGTCCTCTGCCATAACACCTTCTTTCCAACCTAAAGCAGCCTGTTTTTCTGGTTCTGGGGCTTTCTTGAGACTGTCTAGAACTAATATACCTGCTTAAGAAGTTGTGCTACTAACCAATGAATAGCTATTTCTCATTTTCTAAATCTGTATCTCCAAAGGCTAAAAATATATACATTAAGGCCTGTGTCACATTTAACCTTCCATACTACTTGCTCTTCCCACATGATGTAATAAGCCCTGCAGATACCCTGTAAAACACCCTCACTTCTTTGTGCTCAACTTCATAGTTCTGTATTCTTAAAAAAAAAAAAAAAAAAAAAAATCCTACCCGAAAGGTTCTGCCCAATTCAGAAGTGTAGCTAAAAGCTCAGTAGAACTCTGGATTTAAAATTAGGTAAGCATAGTTACATATGGGGGGAAGGGAACTAAGCTGTCTACCTTTGTTCAGTCCTAAATGGCCAAAACCAAATCAGAAACAGATTTAGTGCACAACCAGAAACCTGACACAAATTCATAGGCCAATTTAGGAATAAATAATCTAAAAAGAATTGCTTGTGATGTTTCCATGATCATCAACCAGTGCTAACCTGATTTCAGCAACAGAACACCCTGGGAAATACAAAATGTAAGGATTACTTAGTCTCTCATTCCAAGATCAATATAACAAAACTCAGGGATAAAGCACAGCAATACTGGCTCTCCTCGCTCTCCTGGCTCCCCCAAAGGAGGACTCCCAGAGAGAGGAATGTTTCCGGGTATGGTATGCATCCTATGTCCCCTCAAAACTGCCTGGGAATTTAAACTGAGGATCCTTCTGTATTACAGAGCTTCCCCATTCCAAGTTTAAAGCTCTTAAGCAACAGGAGACAATAAGGGTGTGTTTTATTAAGAAAGGGTGTAACCGACTATAACTTGTATCAACAAGCTAATAAAAGTATTCACCTAAGCACATTTGTGCAGAGGAGGGTAAAGGTTGGGTTTTGATATGCACTGAGGAGTGTCTCAGGTAGTTCGTGGGTGTTTTCTTTTTATGCCTTCAGAACCCAATAAATGGGATCTTCAAACGACAAAGAGCTAAGCTCTAAGGTTTGAGCAAGTACCAGTAAATGTTCGGTTTTCCCCCTGGTTTTCCCCCATCAAATCTCTCTGAGTCCATGGTTATAAAACAGTTCACCACTCAAAAAATTATAAACTGGTTTGAGAGAATAATGTACTATTCTTTTGAGACTAACAAGTGAACTAAACAAACGTCAAACATGTTATACATTGGACCCAACAGCAGTATGCAGATGCATGTGTATTAACCCCTTTATTCAGCTTCCAAAAGCCACTGCCTCTTTGTCACGACCGTTGTATTAAAAGCCAGTCATTCACATTTCACACTGTTCTTTCTACGTTTGAAAAGATCTTTTTTTTAAAGCAGAACCTTTTTAAATTGCTTATAATAAATTATAGGAAGACAGACATCACCAAATCCACCTTAAGTATTTTCAAAGAGATTGGCTATTGAAAGCATGTTACCAAAATATACTCTGGAAAATTTAGCAAGGTTCTGCTTATAGAGATGGAAGCCAAAAACCTGAAACAATCATGGGGGCAATTTTCATATGTAGAGCTTATTCAGAAAAATAAGTTCTGTAAATCTTCCCACATCTGTGCCTACCTACAACTAACAGCCCTACCACATTAGCATGTAGGTGGCATATGACACACTAATTCTTCTGTTCTTTCTGTTCTTTTTATCCATTGATGGAAATGAGTTATAGCTCTGACTGGAATCAAATATATATATTTTAAAATCTTTTAAAAGACATATTTGGTTCCTAAGGAAAAATGACTTTTTGATCCAAGAGCTAAACAAAACAAATATATTTTCATTGAAAAATAACCTCAGCAGTGAATATAATGACACCAATCTCACCCCTTTGATACAGAGTAAGAGTTGAAAGCAGCACGAAGAGGAATGACTATTGAAATCAGCACATGTGAAGCCACACAGCTTTGTAACCGAATGTCTAGCACCATTGAGGTACGAAAGCATGCCAGCTGGGGCGGCATTGTGCACCACAAAGTATGGG